TAATTGAAAAATAAAATATTTGTTTTAAAATAGAATATATGACAATATTTAAATATAATATATTATCCTAGACTGACAATTAATCATCTCCGTTCAGAATCGTTTTTCGTATACAATGATACCTATCATTGCATTCAAATCTAACCTAGTCAAAGGTCCACCCCACCACCTAATGTACAGCAGAGCGATATCCAACCCGCTTTTTCAAATTTTAACTTAAAATATAGTATAATTTTTGTATATATTGGATACAGTAAGAAATACTTATAAAAATATTTGTTTAAATTTTCAATCCTTAGCTATATAAAATGTTATACATTTTTATTTCTTAACGATAAAATGTTTTGTAAATGTTTGTTTTTTTGACGAATTCAGGATTATATCAAAATTCTTACATTGAATGCTTATAAAATAAACGTGTTTATCYATATGCATCTTAAATATTTTTAAACTGTTATTATAACAACGTATGTATGAAGAATCTTGTAAATTTCCAAGCTTTTTAACCAGTAATAATATGTATCGATATTTATAATTTATAGGAAATAAATTAAAAAATTTGGATATGTGGGTGACGTTCTGCTTTACAGTAAGTTATAAGTAGGTCACCCATAATGGATATTCAAATTTGAACTCCATGATATAGTATGAGTAGGTATCATTGTAAACGAAAAATKATTCTAAGGGATGAACAGTTGGTCGGCATAGGATATTTTATATTATATTTATATTGCTATTATAAACATGGAAACCGGTAAGTTGAATCCAGACTTTTTGCATATTATTACCTACTTGTAAATTTTATCAAAGATAGAAAATGATAAAATGAGCATATGATTGAAATTTCAAGCGTCTATGCGAGTGAGTATTTGTTTTTTAATTATAACAAAATTAGAAATTAATTTCATTAGAAATAGATTAAATATCTAATGCTGTTAAAAATTTAATACCAAACATTTATACAAATTGTATTTGACTTTCCGGTAGTCTTTTTTTTTTTTTTTTGAAAATGGTAGACAAACTTATGAGAAATCTTGTACTAAATTTTCAAATCTTATAAATAAAAATAATCTTCTAAATGAAAATAATTAACGAATTTCRTCTAAATTCAAACTTTAACGCCCATAAAAGTTATTATGGATTTACGCTCAATTTTGTTTTAATTTCAACTTACAACAACTTATATGGAATCATGTATTAGATATTCTAGTTTTTTGACATGCCCAATTTATTTTTATCAACATTTTCTATACTTGATAAAATTTTCAAAATATTTCGAATCTTTGTAAGTTATTTATAGATATTTGAATTTTTTAATCTTTTTAGTTTTATTTTATAAA